TGACTGACTGACTGACTGACTGACTGACTGACTGACTGACTGACTGACTGACTGACTGACTGACTGAACATGAGTCCTTTGATCTAGGCAAAGGTAGTGTCCATTTCCTGAACTTCGTTGTTTCACACCTTCAGTTGCGTTGTTGTAAATCATGGCGATGAGGTATCTGTATTATTTCTCGATTCCCTACCTTCCCAGGGAAACAAATACAGAACGGATGTAAACTGAGTCGAAAGCTTTTTCGCAGGCATCAAATCCCAGACCACAAGGATGCTGATATTCGCTGCTTGTCGACGTTGCTTCTTTTGCTGTCTGGAGATGATCCACCATACTAAGTCCAATTCTGAATGCAGCTTGCAACGACCAGGTTTTCTTCAAGTTTGTTCGCCAAAAACTTTGGATGATTAATAACAAACTTGGATATTTACTGCCAATAAACTAACAGGTTTTTAGTTTCTCCTTTTCTCTGTCTCCTATTTTGTAAAATAAAATCATCCATGCCGCTGGAATTTTCAGGTCCTTCAGATGCGTGAAAACAAGTCTGCTAAAAACTTGGTAAGTGCTTCACCGGCAGACTCCACCAGTTTTACTTTGATACCATCTTCATCAGAAGCCCTTCCTCGCTTCGCCTATCATGAACTTTATCTTAATTAATTTCTGTTTTATGTTTTTTTCACATCCGGTAATATTGTTATGAGCTGTATGTCACCTCAGAAACTCAGAGTGTCGTTTGATAAGTTATTGCTTTTAGTTTCTGGACGAAAATGCAGATGGAGCCTCGTTTTACAACAGCAACATCGGCGTCGGTGCTATGCTCAACCCAAACAAGTCAGAATTGATTCTCGATGTTCTGTGCTACATCGACGCTTTCCAGCGGCCTCACTTCAGCCACAAATGTCTTTATGCCAGAGATGACAAGTAAATCAATACTTTTTTTCACTACGTTTGGCTCCGTTTGTCCCTCTGTTTTTGTCGTCTGAATTGTTCCTCAGAGCTGCAAGGTTCATCAATGTTTATGAAACGTCTGTTCGGAAAACTTTCCTCTGTTTACGACACGAGTGTGCAGGCTGTTTGTTCGGTGCCTACAAGCTTCAGTGCTTTTTCTACCTGTTTTGCCTATATATCAAAGTTTCTCCCTACCGTTCTCTTACTTTCTCTTGTCCATGTAAATCCATCTATTTTCAGAGATCGCATTTTATTTTGGATTGTGGACATATCCTACACTTAGCATTGTCAGTGAACCAATAAGCAGTTATAACTTATATATGAGTTGCATTAGTATCGATCACGAGATACCATCTCACCGGCGCTCTTCGACGAGTCCATGAAGTCTCTCTTAAACCGGTTAATCTGGTGCAACTGCATCAACAACGTCGTTTTCACATAAATCGCGACTTATCTCCAGCAGGAGATCCAGCAGTTACAAGAAAACTCTCTGGACTGTCCAGTTAAATGAGAAATCAATTCGGAAATGGCCATAGGCTCTGCCTACATGAATATCGAAGAACTAGAGGAAGCCATCGGCTCAGTATACCTTGAGCATCAGGTAGGCCTCATGACCTCGCCAGAGGAGGAAATCAGCAAAAGAGAGGTGGACTGGTCCTGCTTT